AGGTCTTAACTTTTATTAAATATTAAAATTTTAAAGTTAACATTTACTTAAATTTTATAAAAGCCTTATCTCTCATCAAACAACTCTTTTCATATCCACCCTCTCTCAACTATTATAAAAAATATCAAAAATTTTATTATACAAGATTGAGATATTACTTTTACAAAAGAAGCCAATAACTAGGCAGTCTAATGGCTCACAAGATATCAATGAAGAATTTTGATACTAACTTGTTTAACAAGCTGTGTATGACTGTATGATTTTCTGATATAATTCAATCTTGATTAGCTTGCATAGTTTTGCTGTGACATTGTATTCAAAAAAAAAAAATTGATGCATCTTGGCCGGAAAAAAAAGAAGAAGAAGAAGAAAGAGACATCGATGCATCGAATGGCTCAGACAGGTCCCACGCTGACAGTGTGATTCCAGAGGCTGAGGAAATGCCCGACCAGACAAAGCGGTGGACCCGGGTCGTGTTACTCGCTTAACCCGGACCCTATGCCGAGCCTTCTTCCACGCCAGCTCCACTCTGTACTATTCGGTCTCCATTGTGCGAAATGGACATGGGAGCGTTCCAAATATTCGAGCTTTGCTTCTGGCCAAAGCACCAAAAGGAGGAATGAGCTTTTGGGGGGCTTGAAGAAGCATCCCAGAAGCAAACAAGCTCTGGATTATGGTTCCGGACGTGACACAAGAGCACAAGTGCGCAAAAAGACTTTTTGGATTTTACTCATTTATTGTCACTTATTGGCTTTTCTGTTGATGTTATCAATCAATCACAACAAGACTATATATATATATATATTTATTGCTGTATGGTTTCAATCATAATTGTTACTCAGCCGCATGTTGCTCTTTTCCCCTGCGACCTCATACCAGCCTTCTTCCTCTTCCTCCCTGTGCTGTTGTAATTCCTTCATGTCACACAAGAGGCGTCCGGATGATGGCAAGCCAAAATCCGAGAGTAGCAGTCCCGACGATAAGCGCAGAAAGGTTCCTGCTTTTACCAAGTATGACACTGCTTCTTCCTGTTCTTCTTTTCTCTCCCATCTTTGCTCTTGTGGCTGTGATTCTAGAAAATTGCCTGCTTATGCGAGAAATTATGCGGGAAATCAATACTTTCCCGCTACAATTTGGCAGTGATTGCCTTCTCTTCGGTGGATTGTTCCCTAAGTATACACCCCGGAAGACATTATCATTGGATACATATTTAATTTTATATACCTCTTATTTTATTTTTAAGTTCTCATTTACAACTTTATGCGTTAATTTATTGCGCGCGCGCCCATGCATTTATATTTTAACATTCTAAAAAGTCTTATATTTTTTTATCGTATCATTCTAGCACTTGATAGGCTTGCTTGATATCAATTCTCCTTAAAATTTTCATTTGACATGAGTTTCATTCACTGCTCATTCAATAATTGGTTGTGATTGCTTGTTTTCTGCTTAATATTGTGCAAAATGGACCTGGATTTCACTTGTTTATGCAGACATTTGCATCACAATATAATTGTAACACAGAAGATTAATCTAATTGTTGTTGACGCTTTTCTCAGACACTTAAAAAAATTGGATTTCTGACTTTGAAGAAGCTTTTCCGTTCCTGATACTAAAGCGGGAGCTCAAGACACTCTCAAGTTTAAAGTATAGTACTTAAAAAATTTGACATTATTTTTTTATTTAAAAACTCGAGCAATTGAATGTCTAGATTCTTCTCACTTATACAGTCATCTCGAGGTGCAATCCTTTTTTAATATAAACTTTTTCAGTTACACTTGTAAGCCAATATTTATGAATGCCAAGGATGAGGAAATGATGAATGAGATTTAGAGTGATCCTTTGATAAAATATCAGCAGCAATCATTCAACAGTTAGAAACGATTGATTCCATTATGTCATATATTTCACTAACAAAGCTTGTGATTTTTTCTGTTGATGTGTTATTTTAATAATATTCAGTGTGGTTCGTGAGGTGATGAAGTTACATTCAGTTCGGCATCTGCTGGAACCAATCTTAGAGCCCTTGATTCGCCGAGTGGTATCAAAATTATTTCTATTATTGTAATGGGTTAACTGCATGCATATTTTTTTGGTATGAAGTCATTTTGTTTAACAGTCAAACATCAATGTTTAACCAACAACAGGTACTACTTCTGTCATGCATTTTACTTATGTCACAGAAGGCTTGTAAGAAACAATGGAATTGCATCAAAGTCTTCCTCCTTACACTCAAATGTTTCTAGCCAGATACTTAGAATATGTTTGTTTACTTCAGATACCAATTAGGTGTGACATCTATACAGGTCAAGGAGGAAGTTGAATTGGCCTTAAGGAAGCATTTAGCCAACCTGAAACGGTAAGAAGTAATAAATATGAGAATAGTCAGAAGAAAGAAAGGGAAAAATAGCCAAATGGTTTATAAAGACTCTGTTTACTATAGCCCTTTCACTCATATTTCCTTTACTTTTCTTTGCAGGACATGTGGGAAGGAAATACATAGTTTCGAATCAAGAAACTTGCAGCTGCAATTTGAAAACAACATATGTCTTCCTGTCTTTACTGGAGCTCGAATTGAAGGAGAGGATGGATCCAACTTAAAGGTATGTTTAGTCGATTCCGAGAAGGGCGAAGTGGTTAGTTCAGGACCTGAATCTTCAGCTAAGGTGGAAATTGTAGTCCTTGAAGGTGATTTTGAAGATGAAAGTGACTTGTGGCTGTCAGAAGATTTCAAGAACAACATTGTAAGGGAAAGAGAAGGAAAAAAGGCCCTTCTTATGGGAGATGTAGTTTTGCATCTTCAAGATGGGATTGGTATGGTGGGTGAGATTTCGTTCACAGATAATTCAAGTTGGACCAGGAGCCGTAGGTTTAGGCTAGGGGTAAGAGCTGTGGAAAACTTCAATGGAATTAGAATAAGAGAAGCAAAGACAGAGTCATTTATTGTCAGAGATCATCGAGGAGAATGTGAGTACTTCCATGTATAATTCTTCTGCTTAGAGGCATAAAGATCTCATGTTTGCAGGTTATATCTTAAAGGGAATTGATCAAGTGTTTTATGCTGTTATTAACTGCTTCTGTAATTCACAGTTCTCATGACTGTAATTTTTATTGCAAGTAAATATCATATAACAGGGCTTATCTAAGTTATTTATTTTTCAAAGAGATGTTAGTTGGACTTCATTTATATGTCTAATTTTTTTGAATGCAGTGTACAAGAAACACCACCCACCGAATTTGTTTGATGAAGTTTGGAGATTGGAAAAGATTGGCAAGGATGGAGCTTTTCACAGGCGTTTGAGCAGGGAAAAGATCAGTACAGTAAAGGATTTTCTCACACTCCTCAATCTAGACCCAACAAAGCTACGCAGTGTAATAATCCTTTAACCACTTCCTTAATCTACAAATTCTTTGCTATCAGCGTTGTCAAGCCTTAGCATACAAAGTTTTCCACTGTCATTTTCATCAAAGTTTTTGGTTTCTTATGTTACTCACGCATTTAACGATTCCCCAAGTAAGCACTCGAGTCTTGGCAAATAATTAACAATCTTGGTTTGGGCATTTGCAGATACTAGGCACTGGTATGTCTGCAAAAATGTGGGAAGTAACTGTGGAGCATGCAAGAAAATGCGTACTTGATAGCAGGAGATACTTGTACTTCCCTTCTGATTCTCAGAATAAAACTGGGATTGTCTTCAATGCCGTGGGACAACTGACAGGGATTCTCTCTGAAGGCCAGTATCTCACCGTAGATAAGCTGGCTGAAGCAGAAAAGGTACTCCTCTCTCATGATCTCCCACTTTCATTTTTGTTTTTCAAATTCTGCATTTACCAATCGCTGTTAATTCTCATTAATCTCAATGTCCACTGTTAGGTTGAAGCTCAAGTGTCTGTCATTTCTGCATACAAGCAAGTGGGGAACGTAGCTACTTTTGAGGATGAAGCTTCTCTCATAGATAACTCTTCCCACTTAACCAATGCACTTTACTCCCCAAGCTCACTGAAGACTGAGGGATCCAGTGCCAATAAGGCTTTGGCTCCTCAAAAAACTGGTGGATTTGATTACACACAAGCGAGTACCTCGTCTCCAGATATCATGTCATCTCTATATTCTGTTGGTGGGACTGGCAGTTTTGATGACTATGGCTTGCCCAGTCTTGAGAGCATGGGACTTCGATATGATCAAGCTCATGGTTTTCCAGTCCACGTGACCAACTCTTTGATGTGTGAAACAGACCCTATGGCACATCCTTTCGGAGATGATATGCAATTCTTCGATCCTACTGATCTCCAGTCTCATTGTAATATTCTGGAATCACAGGCAGATTTGCAGAGCGCTGTTGATGGCTTTATGCTTGCTCGTTCTACAGCCTTGGCCATTGGTAAAGCTCAAAGGAGATGGAGAAAGCTGTTCAACGTCCTGAAATGGTTCATGGTGAGTAGTACCAAGTCAAAAAGAAATCGAGTTGGAGATGGTGAAAGACACATTAATAAAGGGTTGTGAGAAGTTAGAAGGTCCAAACGTGCTGTGGTTTATGTATTATAAGACGTAAATAGGAGCAAGTTCGATGACATGGGCTCATGTTGCTAGCAAGAGGTCAGAGGAATGATCTTTTCCTTTTGTTGTATCAAATTAACTTGTAAATACTTTGTAGTACTCTTCAATAAGGAATGGAGTTGTCCTGGATGCTGGCACTTAACGACAACCTTACTTGAACAAGGTCTGTTATGTAGATTCGTACTTTGTTTTTCTTGAGTTTCAATGAAATTAGGAGCAAAGCACGTAGGACAGGTTTCTTGGACGTTGGCACTAAATGGGATAGCTTACACGTAATATAATTTTTGGTTGTGCATGAAGATGGAAGAGAGTGAATGAGTGAGAGTCCAGTGAAAATTATACAATATCTCAACACAATCGAATAAGCAAATTACCGTGCGCAACCTTTATTTGATAAATAATAATCTGTGCTATTCCGCCTATGCGCTTAACTCTAGTCGGAAAACCAAGTCATATTGTTTATTGCTCGTAAATGTTAAATTTTGTTTGGGCTTTTACCAGCCCAGCTTTGGTTTTTATTTTATTCGGTCTCCACAGTAGGCCCTTTTTCTTAAGCTCAGTTACTCCATCTCGGACTCTCGGATCTCTGAAATTGAATCAAATCAAGGCGAATTGCAAATATGGCGTTCTTCTTGAACAAAACAGGGATTTCCTCCCATTTCCGGTCTCATTCCCAGGTCTTGTTATGCGTTTCTGTCTCAATCGATTGTGATTTATTTTTGGGGAATTATGTTTTAAAAAATTTTTGAGCTTGTCCCATTGTTATCTCGTTTGATTTTTCTTCTGTGCCAAAATTTCTTTTGAGTGAGCAGAAGGCCGAAGATTCGCTTTCCCTCTTGCGCCGTGAATTCCATGTCGAACCCGGGCCTCGTGAAAAAGCCGTAAGGCGTAGAATTTTCGTTCTTTTCTATTTTGCACGCATAAAGATAACCTATAATCATTCATGTTGTTTTGCGGTATTGCAATCCAGTATTTCCGTTTTTCAAACTCTTTTTGGCCAAGTTCCTCCTTAAGTCCTTGACAAAGACGCATTATTGTGTAAGGAAATTAGTTGACCTTGCAGAAAACTGAACATACTTTCTTAAATGGAAATTTTCTTATACCACTTGGAAGTGTAATTTTTGTTCACCTTTTTTTTTTGGGCTTTGTCTGGCCATTCATTTATTGAACATTCATCTTCTTGCAGCTTTTGGCTGAGGATCCATCTCTGAAGCCATTCAAATCATATAAAAAGAGCGTTTCACGGATCAAAAGAATCGGGGATGTTCTAACAATCGTTGTTGTTGCTGGTATGCTTTCTTGTTATACTGGGTTCTGTGTAAAGGGGGTGAGAGGTCGTGGGATTGATGTGAAATGACATGTTTTGCTACTATATTGGTTAGAGGCATTCTTTATTATTGTTTTTTTAACAAAACTTGAGATATTAATGAACTAAGAAGGGAATTTGTTTGTCTTTCTGTCAACTCATACTAGCTGATTAGAATGGTCTGAACCAGAACAGAGATTATCCCTAGTGATCAGGGAATATACTATGACACTGCTGTTCACTTGCTGGAACAAAACTTTTTCCTTTACGAGTGGGGTTTGAGGTTTGTTGAATATAATAAAGACTGTAACAAACAATCGTTTTGTGGTTATTTTTTATATAATGTATAAATCAAATTATCTTTAAAGAGTAGTATAAGGCATCTTTGCTAGCGCTGAGGACAGTCTTTCATTGTCTTAATAGGTCAGCTTTTTTACTGTGTGTTCTATATGTGGATGTATACTTGTGTTAATGCGCTCGTCATTTTGTCAAATTTAAAATTGTAGCATACTCTACAATGGGGTGGAGGGCTTGTTGTTCTCAATCATTATTCATTCATGAGAAAATTAAGTCTTGGAAATTGACATTCGTATACTCAGAAACTGATGCAATGGTATCAAGAACTCGTGAAAGGGCCAGACTGTAAGTGCTGATTATTTTGCTTAATTCATGTTCAACTGAGAGAGCATGCACTGGTGCATCGTATGTCAGTTTTCTAGTGGCAACCTTTCCACCCCCTAATTGTGCAACATTTAAGTTGAATTAAGGAGGGTGCTGATTTAGAATGGATAAGCATTGGCATGACTCACATAATGTTTGAAATATTTGATTATTGTTTTTGATACACTGTGATGACATTCAGGAGTTAGCTAGGAAGTTGTTAATTGAACTTCCTGACCTCTGAATTCTTTTTAAGAAGGGAACTCTAGCTAGACGGCGGTTAATGAAATATGACGAGTTCCTCTACAGAGTCCCCCCCCTCCCGGTTTTATGACGTCTTCTTATATCTTTAAATACTTGTTTTTTGTTTTTTTAAATGTCTCAGGGTGCTGTTATGAAATATACGTCAGAGCTGTTACGAGAGAAGAAGCCCGGAAACAGGCAAATGCTGAAAACACAAGATGAAACGAAAATTGTGATGTTGGCTCTTTTGTTGCATGCTATTATTCTGTCAACAATATGACCTGTCACGATTAACCATATTTTTGAATAAGCAGACAAGCGTTGGAACCAAAAATGCTGCTCCTTAATAGCTCTTCCACCGTCTGAGATTCACGTTTTTGGATGATGAACGTTGAGAGATACATTCTGGTTTTATGTATTTGTGGTGTTTTCTAACATGAAATTTGAAAGGACAGAATTGGGGAATTGGGGTTCCCTGTGCATGAGCGTCCCTCACCTCAGATAAGTGATCGTCAGTATCAGATGCAATACTTGTAAAATTATAACATTTGTCATGTCAAAAAACGTGCAGAAAATCATACCAACTAACATTGCATGACGAAATAAATGTAGATGTCGAGTGTATGGGAGGACATTGACGTCACTGTGGTAGCTCCACAACTGTAGCAGCAGTTGCAAAGACCCAGAAAATCAAGCACATTTTAACTACATTAAAATAATTATAGTTCTATAAGATATTTATCGCATAAAACACTAATTTCATTATAAAAAAAAGTAAAATAAAAAATAATCTTTAAAACTAAAATATAATAAAGACAATCTAATCATATCCTGGTTTCAGATTTATAACCATTATCAGTACCGGGGACAACTAAGTGCAGTAATTGTTTAATTTAATATTATCATTAAGGGTCAAGGGGCAAACTTTTTCCCAGGATGCTCCGCCAAACCGCCATACGGTGCGTGCCACTGCCTCGATTCTCACATGAACGCAAGTAAATATCTATTCTCTTGATCGCACTCTTCGTCAACCTTATCTCAACGGCTACTTGCTCCTTATCGGTTGGGATTTGGGTTCACAATTTACATTTAGATTCAGTTAATGGTTTAAGATTATTCACTCAATATATATCTTAATTATAGTTATTAAATTTTATTAATACTTAAAAATATAAAAATATATTTTTTTCTAAAAATTTAAAATAATTATCACAATTAGAACGCTCTTCATGTGTCCCCTCCAAAACTTTAAAATTTAAGATTTGATACTATTTGAATATTATATGACAAATTTTTTTAAAACTTTTTGATTAAATTAAACAATTGTTATTATACCGTATGACACATTTATTAAATGAGTGGGATACTTATACATCCATTTTTTAAAAAACTGAAATCCCTCATCTTTGTCGCTCATCGTCCATCAATTCTGTATTCTCTTAACTCTCAATCTCCTCGCTCTCAAATTCTACTTCCTCCCCTACCTGCTTTATTTCTTTCTGGCAAATTCCTTTGAATGGCTTTGCTGCACTTCGTTTTACTGTATATGTCCTTCCTCACAACATGCTATACCCATCTTCGTCTAAGACAGGCGGCGCTCAAATGGATATATGGATATAATTTGGTAATTTTATCTATCTCACAATAATTATGGAAAAATAGTTAAATAATTGAGATGGTTAAAAACAAATAACTTTTCAATTTTATCACTATTTAAAAGCATAATTTTTTTTTTGAAAAAAATCTAGGTACGTAAATAGCAGAGATTTTGGAAAAATTAATGATGTTTTATATGAAGTGACTGGTGCGTAAGATCATCAAATTGTTTTTGAAGGTGACTATAATATATAAGACTGGAAGGAGTATAATTTTATTTTTGCCGACATTTGGTTTGTTATTTCACTATTACTCATCAGGAAGACATGCATTCAAGTTGCGGGTGAAGTCAAAGTTGATACTTGATACGTAACTTGAGGGTCTCACTCACTCTAACGTAGTTTAATTTAATGGCGATGCCTATTATTTGAAGATATGTCAGGCCCGATCAGGAAGCCTTGACGAAATTTCCCCAACCTCAACTTCAAGGCAAAAGGGTAGCGTATGGATTGTCATGATCGTGTAGAGTACACAAATCATACTTCCCATACCTGAGTATAACGCGGTGGCAATACGAATTTCCGAACAACTTATTGCTGGCATAGTTTGATGTAAACATTTGAATACTGAATAGATGAAAACTGAAATTACTGTGGTTTGGCCTATTATTTGCACTATTCACGCTGTTATGTATCTTTTTTACCAGATAAGTTTATTGTCACGAGATATTTCTAATTTGAAATCTTTTTATTTATTTTTTGATTAAATTTTTTGTATTGTATACAGATATTCTCTTATTAAGGTAATCATGTTTGCGGTACTGAAAGACATTAAATGTCACACTTTTTTTAATGAGAATTCAAACTTTGTTTTTCTAAGGGCCCGTTAGTTTGCTTGCGTTTCACATTTAAAAAATAAAATTTCACTTTAGGATGTTAAAAGTTGTTTGGGTAAATATTTTACAAAAAAATACATCCTGAAAGCAAATAATAGTTGAGAGTAGATTTGAGAAATATAGCTATTTAAAACTGTTGAAAAGTGAATTTAAAAAATAGGTATTACTTAATATTACCTCAAGTTTAATCTTCTATTCTTTTATTAAAAGATATTTAATTCATGAAAAATATAATTATCATTTCAATAATAATAATTAGGTATCAAGTTTTTAGTATTATAAATTAAATAATTAATCATATTAATTTTTACCATTAATGTATAATAAAAAATATAAATTTTTATCACATTTTTTAAAATTACAAATTAAAGAAGTACAAATGACTATAGATCAAAATTTTAGCATTATAAGTTAAATTTTATGTTATGTAAAATTTTTATCACATTTTTTAAATATTTTAAATATATTACTTTATATAATAAAATTATAAATTATTATAAATCAATATTTTTTAGTAATTATACATTTAAAAATACATTTATTATCACAGTCTAAATAATTTTTAATGTATCAAATTGATTTTAAAAAAATATTTAAATATAAATTTTATTATAATAATTAATTTATTAAATAAATTTTTAACCGAAAACACCAAACACATGCTAAACTGTGATGGACTGGATAATTCTACAGATCTAACTTGTTTTTTTGTTGATTGAATGGTGGATTGGTAGTTGGTAGTCGCACGGCTTTCACTGGATGGGCCATGGCTGGGTTGGCTCAGAGAGAGATTGAATTGAATTGGAGAATTCGTGCATGCAATGATGCATTCTATCTTTTCTCTCTCACCGTTTGGATCTTTCTCTTTTTTTTCTGGGGCCATCGTCTCAGATTTTATAATGACAAATTTTATAATGGAATTGTACCTCATCATGTTTCATTGCCAGATTGCCATCATTTCCCCAATATCAGGTACTGCTTTTCTAAGAATAAACAATGACTCTCTTTTTTTAATTCTCCATTACATGTCTAAAACTTATAATTCTTTTAGTTTAATACCCTAAAAGCCTTTTCTTTTGGGTCTCACCTACACTTTCTATTATAACAATCCGGGAACGTGTTTTTGAGATGGTTTATTTTTGAATATATAGGGGGGGGAGGTTATTGGAGATACCAGTAATGAAGAATGTTCTTTTTTATATGTCAACTGAACTAAGGCTTTAGTAAAAATGAAATAGAGTTTGAGTTTTGAACATGACCACTCAACCTGGGAAACAAAGACACACGCGTCTGTTGATACTAGCGTCATTTCACAAGGATGCCCCGCGCCTCAAGGAGTTCCATTGATATGCATTTGATCCATTCATGCCATGAATTTGTTTAGCTTGTGTAAACCAATCATTCGTAACATGGATCGTCAGTGAAGTTCTTTATGATTTTAATCTGCATAAAAAGTATGAAATTCTGGACCAGCTTTCTGATTGTCTCTCAAAATATTTAGAAATGCAGGAAAATTGTGTGTCTTTGGTGATTCTTTAGCTTTACTTTTTTTTTGCTTTATTGTCTCGCTGCATCCTCAATTCCTCAAATCTTGTACATCTCTGCAGCTGAGTAATTATTGTTCCTTTGAGGGTGTTCTGTACTGCAAGCCTCATTATGATCAACTCTTAAAGAAGACCGGAAGCTTAGAAAAAGTTTTGAAGGTGAATTCAAGCTATTTGATTTAAAGTCTACTAATAAATTTCCACTTCTTTTTGGTACTAACATGTACTCTTTGTTCAGTTCATTCCAAGTTATATTTTATTCATTCCTCTAACTTTCTGTGTGTGTGTAGGTATTCTAAGAACTGCTAGAGTTGTCAGGTCTACTGATCAGGTATTTAAAAACTCTTAAGATGCCATACTTAAACATCGTCATGTATTTACTTTGTGCATATGAAGGCACTTTGTATATATATTAAATTTTCTTGAACTGATCACAGGTACAAACCAATGGCAAGGTTTCTAGATTATTTGCCGGAACTCAGGACAAGTGTGTTAATTGCAAGAAGACAGTCTACCCAATTGAAAAGGCACGTGGCGCTATACTTCAAAATTTCTCATAATAATATAATGACTTTTTCTGTACTGCAAGCCTCATTATGATCAACTCTTAGAAGAACGGAAGCTTAGAAAAAAGTTGAAGGTGAATTCAAGCTATTTGATAAAGTCTACATAATAAATTTCCACGTCTTTTTGGTACTAACATGTACTCTGTTCAGTTCATTCCAAGTTATATTTGATTCATTCCTCTAACTTCTCTGTGGTGTGGGTAGGGATTCTAAGAACTTCTAGAGTTGTCAGGTCTACGGATCAGGTATTTAAAAACTCTTAAGATGCCATACTTAAACATCGTCATGTATTTACTTTGTGCATATGAAGGCACTTTGTATATATATTAAATTTTCCTTGAACTGATCACAGGTACAAACCAATGGCAAGGTTTCTAGATTATTTGCCGGAACTCAGGACAAGTGTGTTAATTGCAAGAAGACAGTCTAACCCAATTGAAAAGGCACGTGGCGCTATACTTCAAAATTTCTCATAATAATATAATGACTTTTGTTTTTTGGAGTCTTCCACTTTAAAGATTATTTTATGGAATGACCTTTATAAATTTGCAGATAACTGATTTAACTTGGGACAAAAAAAGTTAAAAAAAAAAAAAGAAGAAGAAGAAACTTAGCTCAGTGTAAGCTGATGAAGACTAATCAAGCAAGCTCATGTACCATATTCTGAAACATTTAGCTCAGTGGCATTTTATCATTCTGTGACGTGTTTCATACCAAGGGCAATCATAATTCATAAATGAATAGCTAACCTGTTTTTCAAAGCTGTCACTTTAAGGTACCGTTTTCAATTTGGGAGAAAACGGCTGAGTTAAATGCCTGGCAGAACAAGTCATTTAGTTTCTGGGCTTTGGATTAGCATTGTCTGTTGTTGCCATGGTTTCTAGTTGGGGAAGGTTATTAGCTCAGGGTCTCTGTTTTTGTCACACGGATGATAGATGAATTGGTGTGATGGGGAAAGGAGGAAGAGACAAACCGACAGAAACATTCACCCACCAACACACAGTTG